TCTTTATTATGTAAAGTGACTACCCTGGCCTTCTCAATGGCCCATTGACAAAGTAGGGATTGGCAGGAAGCTATGGGCAACTATTCTGTCTTTTAAAACATGTTTCTTTTCACATCCAGAGAAATATTCTGCCTTTTCAATATTTCCTAGGATATTTCATTTTTCTGAGAGAGGGCTGGATGATAACTTCCCACACAGGTTTGTAAAGATTAAATGAGAATGAGGGAAAGAACTCTGTACATTGTCTTTAGCTCCCAAGTAATACATTAAATATAAATTACCATAAGTAAAAGCTGCACCATGCAAATCTAAGGCATAATGCATTACAACACTAAGTTTAAAAGAATGCAGAAATATTTTTCCCTATAAATTGTGGCTCCTGTAACTACAGTGTAAGGCTGCCATAGAATTAAAATACGTTATGGCCAAAACTATTAACACTGAGATTAAGTAAAAAGAAATAGTTTACCTGTCTTTGGTTTTTCACTTCTGTAACAACATTCTTGTCCCGCCAATCAAACTTTGGTGGCAAGGGTGAGTCTGTTCCTTGTAATGCAACTTGAGGTACATATCTGGGAACTTTAGAAGACCTACTTTGTAGGTAAATAGCTTTAATATAAAAAACAATTCATTTATTTTGACTTTACCACAACTGCAATCAGTACAGACATTTTGTTTTGAAAGTAAACACTTAATACATTTTAATTTAATACTAATACAGGTCATTTTTGCAGCAATAATGATCCAACAGTGTTCAAAGCACGCTCTTTGCCTTTTTGAAACTTCTTAAGGCAAATATCAAATTCTCAGAATGCATTCATCCAGGATAAAGGGGTACCACCGGCAAAAAGTAAATTTGGTAATATGTTCTGTACCTTTAAATTCTTTAGCAGACAAGTGAGAAAACTGATTTATTCCGTACAAAGCAGTAATATTGTCACCGAAGGATAATGAATTCCAATGCTTAATCCTCTTAATACTTTCCTGGGAAAATAAATAGAGCATAAATAGACTTCAAACCCCCTCCACTAAGCGAACCAGGCAAAAGGAAGAGGGTGCTCGGGGGCCGAAATTTAAAGAGCAGCACCGCAAGCCGGGGAATCGGCGAAACAGAAGAGGAAGCTGAAAAGCGGAGCCTCCCAACTGAGTCTGCGCACGAAAAAGGGTGGCGGGTAGATTACCCACGACGGGGGATGGAAGGAGCTTTTTCGTGCTTTCGTACCTACCCGCAAGGCGCTTTCTTTCTTCCACTCGCTGCCCTTGGGATTGCGAAAGGGGAGGGAGAGATTTGCCGGTGCAAATTCGGAGCGGGAGCCATTCCCAAGAAAGGGAAGCAGGATTAAGAGCGCGCACGGCCACCGGATCATGAGAGCGCGTCGGATTTCCCTTTCGCTTTCGCCTGGCCCCTCCTCCTCCCGTTTAAGCGTAGAGCGAAGGTCCGGCTTTGTCCGGTTTGGCTGGAGCAGCCCTTTGTAATTAATCGCCTTTGCTACTTGAATATTTGCAAAAAGTACAAAAGTGCCAAAAGATAAGGAACAAGCAAAAGAGACAGATACATCCCACGGTACACCCAGACATAAAAAAAACGAAGCACTAAACCTTTACCACGTACTAATCATCTTTCCTTTTAAAAAGTGTGTTTAATGCCTTCTAGACAGTATGAACTTCTGGCAATGTCTGGACTAGTCCTTGCAGTTTTCTCAGCAAAGGGTTTTGGAAGTAGCCTGCCGTTGCCTGCTTCCTAGTGTAGGAAGTTATCACCCAGCCCCCTCCCAGAAAAAATGAAATATCCTAGGAAATATTGAAAAGGCAGAATATTTCTCTGGATGTTAAAAGAAAGAAACATGTTTTAAAAGACAGAATAGCTTCCTGCAGCTTCCTGCCCATCCCCACTTTGTCAATGANTTTAAAAGCGCTTTTTAAAGCGCCCTTTTTTCTCCGCGGTCGTATTTGTCGTGCTGCTGATGACATCAGGTACGCGCTTTAATCGGGCGCGCTTTAGTGGGCCGCGGTTTTGACGGGTCACGCTGTGATGTGACTGCAGGGGGTAGATGCAGCAATCATAACTTCAAGGACTGATCATATCTGCTTTTCTGAAGTCTGCCATAATTTCAATTGCTTGTTAACCAACTGAACTATCTGTTTTATATACCAATTCCCTATTGCTATAGAACCAATTTTTGAACATAACTCCAATTGTCCCTCATCACACAGATCAGATGAAGCTGTGACATCTGGAAGATGGATGCTTCTCCACCTTAAGCCAGTCAAGGAAAAAAAAACATAAACATAATCATTAAGTATTACCTTAGATCATATGCAACATAATCTGTTACTGAGATTCCAAAATCAGAACGTCTGAAGTAATGGCACAATCCTGCATGAGCTTGAAACGGATACTTCGAATCTCTCACCAGTTTCACATGTGTCTTCGGGGGGAAAAATCAATGATTCATAATTAAATATCAATATATTTATGCTTTCCAAAGATATCTTTGATGGGTTCTATGCAAGAGGGCTAAATAATATTCTAGTCAAACAAGCATGAAATTTTCTTGTATTGTATACTATGAAGAGAAAGAGATCAGGAATCTAAAACTGTTGTCAAACCTATTTCTAAAGGGATTTGTGGGAAATATTTGAAGAACATATGTAATTAACAATATAAATATCAATATATTTATGCTTTCCAAAGTTATCTTTGATGGGTTCTATGCAAGAGGGCTAAATAATAGTCTAGTCAAACAAGCATGAAATTCCTTTTTCTTGTATTGCATACTATGAAGAGAAAGAGATCAGGAATTTAAAACTGTTCTCAATCCTATTTCTAAAGGGATTTGTGGAAAATATTTGAAGAATATGTGTAATTAACGCCTGAGCACATGGTCAATATAGCCATTTCAAGCCAATCCACTAGCTTGAAAAATCAATATAGCAGTGGAGGGTAATTTTTGCATTAGTATGACATCAACCAAAGCTATTTTTAAAAAATAATTATAAGATTTGTCTTCTCTTCACGAACACTATTAACTTATCAATAGAGATTTTAAATAAATACCTCATTTAACCAACTCAGCGCACTAATAGTTGAACCCCCATTGCAACCATAATTATTATATGAACAATCGATGACTTGTTGTACACTGAGTTCTTCCAGAGTGTTTCTTTTAATTGCATAAGCAGATTCTATTCCACTAACAACACTGAAAGCCCAACAGGCACCACACTGAAAGAAGAAAAAAAATCCCATGGGTATTATTCTTTGACTAACAGCTTAAGAAAGCATGTTTACTATACATATTATGTTATCTCACTGCACTATCTATGATTTTTTATGTATAACGTTTACATATAGTTTACATATAATATTCAATCTATTTTTCAAGAAAAGCCCTTTTGATTCCTTTCAGAGAGGTGGACAGATATTAGTTGGTTTTAAGTGCAGACATTTTTTCTAAGTACTTTCAGACCGTTGCAATATAATTTTTAAAAACCTAGTCTCTAGTCTGGCATAGAGTTTACTCAAGTCACTTTGAGCCCATCATGATCATTCATCTATCTTATGTCACAGGTGTTGAAAGAAATGTCGTTTTGGGTTCAGCTCCAAGTGGGGAAGAAGACACTGGAGACATGGAGGCTGCTTGGAAAGATGGTTTATTGTTGGACAGGGCCCCATGGCTTGAGCCCTGAACAGAAAAGGTGGTCACATGGTTCAATGTTGGTGAAGAAGAAGAGAGAAGGGCTGAGGAAGGGGCTTGCTAGGCTTTTTATTCCCTGTTTAGTCCCACCTCTCTGTTTCCTGTTCCGGTGTAAGAAATGTATTCTGATTGGTTGTCAGACTCCCATGCCATGCAGGGGGCTACTCTCTAG